TTCCCTACAGTAAAAATCTCTAAAACCAAACAAACAAAGCTTTTGGCCCAGAAATTCCCCCTAAGGAAATGATTGATAGGTGAACAAAGATATACATACAGAGACATTTATTACCAAACAATGGGAAAAACTGAAAGTAGCTAAATATTGAATAATAGGACATAAATTAAACAAATTATGGTATACATATTAAACAGTGAAATACTATGCATTCATTAAGTAATATGAGGGGGACTTCATAAAGTTTGTGGACAAATACAACTGAAATATAAGTTTATTTGGTGGAAAAAATGAAATCCATGCATAGTTTTTTGTAATATGCATTTTCCATAATATTTTGGAGATCCTATCTATTGTAACAAAACAGTTACTAACATAGAAAGTTGTTATTGTTGTTAAGTAAAGAAGAAAGTTTCAAAACAATTTGAATTTATTTGTATTTTAAAGCTAAGGCATGTCCTGGAGTGTTCATGGAAGCTATGCTTTAAACTCCATCTCCTAGACTCCTGAAATATTCAGACAAGGATAGATTTTGTCACAGAATGACCAGAAACAACCACAGAGGCACAAGAAACATAAGAAACCAAGAAAATATCTCTCCCCTAAGGGAAAAGAACAATCCCTCATCGTCCACAGACAGTACAGTAGAACTCATGGGAATGTCTGATAGAAAATTCAGAATATTCATAGTGACAAAACTAAACAAGATACAAGAGTTGAGAGACAATGAACTCCAGAAGATGCAGGAGAAAAGAGACGAGTTCCAGGAGGTGTTGAAGTTCTTCCATGATCTGAAAGAGGAAATACACACCATAAAAAAGAATCAAATGGTGCTATTAGAGATGAAGGCTGCCATTCAGGAAATCAAAACCTCCCTTGAAAGTATTAAAAGCAGTTTAGTCCATGCAGAAAATCAAATCTCAGATGTTGAAGGCAAAACCTCTGATCTAGAAAAAAAACACCACCAAAAAAAAAAAAAACCTGAGAAAATAACCCTCCAAAATGAGAATACTATATGAGAAATACTAGACAGCATTAAGCTCCAAACATCTGGATAATTGGTATCCCAGAAGGTGAGAAAAATAGTAAGGGCATTGATAATCTATTCCATGAAATCTTGGGTGAAAACTTTCCAAATGTAGAGCGTCTTTCAAATATCTAGACCCAAGAAATACAAAGGACCTCTAATAGAATCAACCCAAGAAGATCTTCTCCAAGGCACATCATAGCCAGACTGGCCAAATCTACAGACCAAGGCAAAATACTAAAGTTGGCAAGAGAGAAATGTCAGGTTACTTTTAAAGGTTATCCAATCAGGTTAATTTCAGACCTCTCATCAGAAACAATGCAAGCAAGGAAAGAATGGGAAAATATATTCAAAGTATTAAGTAAAAAACAGTTTCAATCAAGAATACTATACTCAGCAAGATTATATCTTTTATATGGAAAGAAAGGATAAAAACATTCTCAGATAAACAAGACCTGAAAGAATTTGCCAATAGCACACCCACTCTTCAAGAAGTTCTGAAAGAGTGCTCTACCAGGAAAACTAAAGACACACACAGAAATAAGAGAACAAAAGGCAACTAAGAAAATTTAATGCTAGGAACAAGAAATATCAATAATAATGTTGAATGTTACCCTCCAGGATTTAAACGGAAAGATTAGACTGCATATTCAACAAAAGAAAATTTGAACACATGACTGAACTGGCGAAATAGAATTTGGGGATGGTCACGCCGCAATCCCTTCTCCTCCATTCTCCTCTCGGGATCTTGGGCACGCACGCACACGCGCCCGGCGTGAGTTTTAAGTCACCGGGTGTGGGACGCGAACCACGATTGACTATGTGGGAATCCAGCGACATAGCCATTATGCTAACTGCTGGTTCCCTGGGGGGTGATTTCTCACTTTCTATCTCTCTGTCTGTCTCTGTCTGTCTGGTGAGCGAACATGCCCTATAGCAAAACCTCTTAAAAAAAATCAATAAACAAAAATTAGACTGTTTCTGCTCTGCTGTTTTTGCCCACCTGTCCCTCCTTAATAACAATGCTTATTAACTGTCCGGGGGGGACAGCCGAACAGGATTCCTGAGTGAAGGAGTGAGC